TGCTCTTTCGGAGGCAGACCAACACCGTTTTATAACTTGCAAACAGACTACGATTGTTACGATGTGATCATTATGATTTGTGGCCCGGGCTTGCCTTGCGGCTATGATTAGCAGAATGTGCTCTTAGAGGTCTCTTGGAGATGGTACAGTTGTGGTGGAACTTCGGTAGCAACAATGCTGGCTTTAAATTTTACATGACAAGCTGCATCCTTTTCCTTAGGGAATGTTTAATCTTTCAATCCTCCTGGAAAAGGCAGGGGTGCAAGAATGCCAACCAAATAAGAATTTAGATAAGTATCACATTTCCATCCCGTTTTGCTTAGTTGCAATTTTCTACAAAAGAGAATAAAATATAACAGTAACGATAATGATAATGATAATGATAATGATAATAATAATAATAATAATAATACGCCAATACATCACGTAATCCTAAATGCTTCGGAACGCTTATCACCCATCCCCTCCCACTTGTGATTGTAGGACTATAACTTTGTTGCTTGTATCCTTACAATTTATATTGACTGTTTCCTAGTACGATTTGATTGTTGATTGTACCCTATGACTATCATTAAATGTTGTACATTATGATTCTTGATTCTTAACGAATGTACCTTTTCTTTATGTATACTGAGAGTATTTACACCAAGACAAATTCCTTGTGTGCCCAATCACACTTGGCCAATAAAGTATTCTATTCTATTCTATTCTATTCTATTCTATTCTATTCTATTCTATTCTATTCTATTCTATTCTATTCTATTCTATTCTACTCTACTCTACTCTATTCTATTCTAGTGTTCAACTAGTGATTTGTGATACGAAACCCAGCATAGTCATTCTCGTTTGCTGTGTACACTGCCATTTTTGTGTACAACAACAACAATAAGAATAGAAAGCAGATAATAACAAGACCTGGCCATGGCTAAGAGCAGGAAAGAAGACCAAACCTTAAGGACAAATGTATACAAAGCCAGAATTGCAAAGACAGGAACAGACAGTAAGTGCCGACTATGCAAAGAAGCTGAAGAAACAGTGGACTACAAAGCGGCATGACAAAGTAGCAACAGTAGTGCATTGAACGATCTGTAAGAAATATTATTTGCCTGTAAGCAAGAACTGGTGGAACATTAAATAGAAAAAGTCATAGAAAATGAAAAAGTTAAATTGCTCTGGGACTTCAGAATCTAGACAGACAGGCACCTGCCACATAACACCCCGGACTTAACAGTTGTCAATAAGAAAGACAAAAAAGACTGGATATTGGATGTGGCAGTGCCTAGAGACAGCAGAAGAGAAGAGAAAGAACTGGAGAAGATAACAAAATACAAAGACCTACAAATATAAATAGAATGACTATGGCAAAGGCAAGCAAGGGTAGTACCAATAGTAATAGGCGCCTTGGATGCAGTTCCAAAACAATTGGAGCACCACTTGAACACCCATTGGCATTGACAAATTTGCCACCAGTCAATTGCAGAAGGCAGCTTTCCTTGGAACAGCTTCCATCCTGCGGCCATATCTGTAACACCGTCAAACATCCAGATTTGCCCATCCCAGGTCCTTGGTAAGGACTCGATAGGTAGACAAAAATGCCAAACCCAGTCTGAACATCTGGCTGACTGTGTGATTAATAATAATAATAATAATAATAATAATAATAATAATAATAATAATAATAATAGTAAAGAGAAAGTGAAGATCTTGTGGGACTTTCAAATATAGACAGATTGTCATTTGGAACACAACACGCCAGATATCACAGTTGTCGAAAATTGAAGCATACAATTTATTGATATTGCTGTACCAGGAGACGCCAGAGTCAAAGAAAAAGAACTGGAAAAAAATCATGAAATATTACGACCTGGCCATTGAAACAACGCAATTATGGATGAAACATATAACAGTGATACCCATGGTCATTGGGGCACTTGGTACCATGTCCAAGAATTTTATAGAATACATCAAGAAATTGCAGCTTCCTGCAATAACACCAGTGAAACTGCAAGCAACTGCACTACTTGGAACATTGTATATTTTAAGGAGATACTTGGTTGATACCTAGGATGCTGGCAGCAACCTGTATCAACCATCAGCGCCAGTCAATTATATTTGTGATACATTTTAAAATGTTCACTTGACTGAGTTTCATGTTTAATGAATAAAAGAAATAACAACAACAATAATAATAATGGATAGGACTGGATAGGTGGATAAAAATGCCAAAACCAGTCTAAACATATGGCTGACTATGAGACCACTCATAATAATAATGATAAAAATATAAACAATTTAAAATGTGTTCTTGTCTCTCTCAAATGTTGGATGCTAAAAGGAAATTCCCACAGCTGGGAATGCCCGGGGGAAGAGATTAATTGGACCTGCAGTGGAGAAGATTCCAAAGTATGAGTTTCTATTGAAACTGGCTTAGTAATTATTTCAGTAATGGAGTAACACGTGCATGCCAGATATTACAACATCTAGATCAAGGACAACGATAACCATATATGAAAAATGAAGGAATGTCACCATTAAGTGAACCTCAGTTCCTAAAGATTGGCTAGATCTATGTGGAGCTTTCTCTTAGATGTTTTCTTTAAATTTCCCAGTCTAATCTATTAATCTGGGATTTCCCCTTGGTCTCCGATCCCAATACTAACCACGTTCAGCCCTGAGTAGAGACCGAACAGGACCAAACTTGAAAGAGCTACTCAGGGCTGAACATAGTTAGTACTGGGATGGAAGATTAAGATGATATCCCAGATTAATAGACTAGCCTGGGAAATTTAAAGAAAACATCTTTTATATATGGATTGTATATACAGACCAGTTATTAGTAGCTAGTATTCAGCAGGTTCTGGAGAACCGGTAGCGGAAATTTTGAGTAGTTCAGAGAACCAGCAAATACCACCTCTGACTGGAGATTTTACAGTATCTTTCTCCTGCCATACGCACCACGCCATGCCCACAGAACTGGTAGTAAAAATTTTTGAATCCCACCACTGATATGGACATGCTTCAAACATCTTCCCAACCACAATACGGTTTCCATGCCTCTTTGCTATCATCTAATAATTGTATGTACCATATTTTAGCAAGAGAAATCAACCAGAGGGTAAGATATTAGTTCGGTTATTGTTTAGTTGAAGCTGTGAATATGATTGATGAGTAGACTAGCATTAACCATTACACTTCAATAAGAAACTATAGTTAGCTGCTCACAGGCCATTTTAGATGTCAACATTCAGTGATCATTCGTAAGTTCTCTGTTATGGTAAGGATTTAAAGAAGCTGTTATGAAAACTGGTTTCTGACCCACAGTGTGAAATATTTAAAGCGACTGTCGTTATGTTCGCATCTGAAAACATTTTAGCTCTTCAGGTGAGGGGCGGGAAACATCAAGGCTGATGGGGAGAGGGAAACCCTACTTTTTAAATACCAGTAGTCCTTGACTTATGACCAGAACGGAGCCCTAAATTTATGTTGCTAAGTGAGTCAGCTGTTAAATGAGTTTTGCTCCATTTTACAACCTTTCTCGCCACTGTCGTTAAGTGGATCATTGCAGCTGTTAGGTAACAAGATTATTATGTGAATCTGGCTTCCTCGTTGACTTTGCTCATCAGAAGGTCACAAAAGGGGAATCACATCTCTCTCTCTCTCTCTCTCTCTCTCTCTCTCTCTCTCACACACACACACACACACACACACACACACACACATGGGACACTGCAACCATCATATAAATGAACCAGTTGCCAAGTGTCTGAATTTCGACTGTGTCACTTTAGGCACATTGCAACGGTTGGAAGTGTGAAAAATGGTCATAAGTTACTTTTCCAGCGCTGTTGTAACAGTCACTAAGTGAATGCTTGTAAGTTGAGGACCTCCTGTACTGAAGAACGAAGTTCGCGAAGGCAGCAGGTATTTCTGGTGTTACATGCCACCAGCCAACTTGGTCTCTCTCTCTCTCTCTCTCTTCTTCTCAAGCAGCAAAACTGGAATTTAGAATCAGGATCCAGAATGTTTCCATCCAGGGGGAAAAAATGGCTTTTGTAGGCCTGGAACCAAATTGTTCTTTGCCATTTCCAAATGCCAGTTTAGACAAATGATTTCATACACATTGAATAGGACTTTTCTGGCACTAGGGGTTACCTAAAGTATTACCATTGTCTTGAAAAGTTCATGTTCCATGGAGACAAAGACGAAAAGGACGGGCCTTCTATATAACTGGAATGTAATTATCAAGATTGCTTTCTTTCTTTGTAGCATTTGCTGTGGTGTGTTTGTCGATTGCAGAACAAGGCTGTCCTATGTTCGGAAATATTCTTTGAAATCCACAATATCCAAACTTTATTAGCCAATTTCTGCAATCTTTTGGATCTATTGCAGTGGCAGGATTCCAAAAAAAATATTGAGCCTTCAAACCATCAGTTGAGCTTTCAAGCTTTCAGGGATTTATTTTTTTAGTGCCATCACTTTCAATGGTGACTTGAAGTTGCTTATCAACGGTGACGCCCATGATATGGTGCCATGTAGCAGATATTTTCAATCCGGACCAATGTTGCTCAACCATGACAAGTTCAACTCCCAGAATTCTAGATAATCTGGGTGTTGAAGTTCACACCTCTGAAAGTTGAGGAGTACCAGTGGTCCAGACCGATGGCCATATGTTCTTCTCTAAGGTACAACTCTTTCAGGCAATCATTACCCTGGCAGTGCAAAGAACACCCGGTGGAAGAAGTGGATTTTCGTTCTTCTAAAGAAGTAAACTATTTACAAGCAAAGACCTGAATGTGACCGCAAGCAAAATGCCCATTTATTAACAATGCAAGCCATCGCAGTTCATCTTATAAATCTCCCTTTTGGGTTTGCTATCTGGAAAGGATGGAAATAAGTGGTGGGGGGGGAGAGGGGAGGAACAGCAAGGGAAAAAGTTATGCAATGCCCTGCACTAATTCTCCACCTTCCAAAGGAGGCTGATCCCTGGACACACACACACACACACACACGATTTGGCTGCTTGCCTCAGGGGATTGAAGAGTCCAGACCTGTCAGACGAACAGTAAGTTTTCTCTCTTCTGGTTGGGATCAACTCATCAGCTCTGCCCTACCTTCCTTTGTTGGGTGGGAGGCTGCTTGGTGGGAATCCTTTAATCTCTGGAAGATCTTGTGCTAGAAATTCCATCTCCCTTGTGCCCTTCCCCCAATACTTTTAGAACTAAAGAAGGTGGTGTTGTATGAATTGGGAAATGAGGGCATGTGATGTGATCTTTTGGCATGACTAAAGAAAAAACAAATCTGTTGTTTTTTAGTAGGCTAATGAACTGCTGCAAAGCTTCTTAGCTTTATTTTATTTTATTTGTCTTTTAGCTTTTGCATTCTGGCAGCTGCAACGTTAGTTAATAATAAAAAGGTAGAATGGTTGGATTGGAGTTGAACCACTCAAATCAAGGGATCAAGTCTAAGTGAAATTTTATTGATTCTATTGGGTAGGTTTAAGTAGCTATTAGATTTATAACTTGCCTTTCTCTGCATATCTGTAACTGACCTGCGTTTCATAATGGAAACAGAGTAGGACCTTTTGTACTATTCCAGGCACGTCGGCTTTTTCTTAAGGCTTGGATAATTTGGACCTTACATACCTGAGAAAATCTTGTTTCCCAGATCAAGTGGCTGACTCCTCATATCAATGTTTTCAGAAGGTAAATTCCATTTGTAGCCATATCTGTAACCTGAGGTGAAACTGGAGATGCCAAAAAAAGGGGGGAAACTTCTTGGTTGCAATTGTGATTTTTCTTGGGAAAGATTGCTTGTTGGCAACAGTGTCATGTATGGGCAGAATTAAGATGTTCTTTTTAAAAAATCCTGGTTTTTTTTTTTAAACAATGCATAAAGAAGTATATATCCACTGGCTGTGGAAGTTGCATGCTCCTACTCATAATCGGTGTTAGACCTTAAACCTCCTGTGTGAATTAATCTCATCTTGTGAAAGTGAGCGCTCTGAAAACTTGCCACGTTTACCCCAAAAGGGTCATGGTCCATATTTGCCATCCTGGCAATATGCTGTCAAGCCATTTTAAAAATGAAATTGGGGACCTCATAGAATTTAGGGATTAATTGGGCTTGGGGCTTATGTGGAGAACCAAGGATGGGAGGTACAGTGATGTGAAGAACATCATGCCATTGTGAGACCACTTTGACCCTTTATATGGATATGGTGACATCATATATCCGCTCACAGTTACTCTGTGCTAAGATGGGCAGACAATAAATTTAATAGATAAATGATAGACAGGCAAGCAGGCAGATAGATAACATGTTTTCCCCAGAATAAGACCTATTTTGAAAATAAGCCCTAGCATGTTTTTATGTGTGCACTTAATATAAGCCCTACCACCAAAATAAACCCTATTTAAGGGCCTGTGCAGCCGCTCGGCCACCCATTCTGTCTGGTTGCTCATAGTACCACGGCCACGAGGTGAAGCAGGATGGTGATGGAGCTGTTCCATGTGTCCCGCACCAGTTTACCTCAGGGGCCCTCAGCCAGGCCCTCCACACCCTGACAGCTCCTCGGGGCAGCAACACCAGAAACCATGTGCATTAGGAGTCTACGTGACTGCTGGCTCACTTCTTCTGCTTGCTCATGGCTACAACAGAGCAGAAGGCTGAGCAGTGTGCTGGTGCTGTGGACATGAGGTGAGGCAGGTGTCAGGCCATGGATGGCCTGGCTGTGGGGCCCATGAGGTAAGTCAGTGTAGGGTGTGTGGAGCAGCTCCATCACCAACCTGCCTCGCCTCATGGATGGTCTGGCTGTGGGGGTCCTGAGGCAAGCCAGTGTGGGGCTCATGGGGCAGCCTCCCACCTGGCCTTGTGGTCTTGGCACCAGTGCGTCACTCGAACTCCTCCATTGCAGCTGCGAGCAAACAGAAGAAGTAGGCTGGCAGCCAGGCAGGGTCCTGCTGGACAGGGCTGCCAGAGCCAACACGAGGCAAGGCAGGTGTTGGGGAATGGGTGGCCTGGCTGTAGAGGCTCTGAGGTAAGCTGGTGCAAGGGAACCTGGGGCTGTTCCACCCCCTGCCTCATGGTGGCAGCACTGGTTTGCTGTGCTGCCTTCTGCCCTGCTGCAAGCAAACAGAAGCGGGCCTCCCCTACATGGGAAAAAAATAAGACCCCCCTCAAAGAATAAGCCCCGGTGCTTATTTTAGGGCCCAAAAGAAAACAAGACCTGGTCTTATTTTGGGGGAAACATGGGTAGGTGTAAATAAATAAGTAAAAGCTTACAAAAGGGACATAACTTGTTCAATAGTATGTTGCTTCTTTTTCATTTTTACAAAAGCAGCGAGATCCTCGCAGACAACCTTCGGCGTTATCTAGAGACCATTGCCCTCTGGAAGATCTTCAGAGCACGCGATTCCTGTGACGTACAACTGCTCACTACTAAAGTCCTCCTGTGGGAATTTTTTTCCCGAAGTTTGAGCATCCAGAGAATTACTGAAGGTAGAAAGGATCATCAAGATCCCCAAGTCTAACCCTCAAAGCTTCTGAGTGATCGACACATGAAAATAACAACAGAACTTGACCTTCTGACATTTCCAACAGCAAGCTCAGAAACACCATCAAGATAAATCTGAAGAGGTTTCCCAAGAATTTAAGGTAAGGAAATAAGTTTCTCTCGAGGGGGAGAGAATTTTTGAAAAACAGAGGAGGCCATCTTTAGCCCAGCATTAATTCAATCATCTCCAGTGAAGGAAACCTAACCGTTCTTTAAGGTCACCTTTACCCAAACAGAGTGAAATGTCTCTGCAACTCAAAAGGCTTGGGAGGAGCCCGAAACCTGACAAAAATGTTCTGCCTTTATCTAAGGAGGTCAGAAAATGGATCGTCAGCCAAAGCATAATGTGTAGGCTGTGTTTAACAACCAAGGTTGGCCCAAACACATTCCACACCGTTTGCATATTGTTTGATGTTAGTTAGTTAAAGCACTCGTTAATCTAATGTGGTCATTGGCTCAGGGCCCCAAGATTGGACTTTTTCATATCCATGAGGAATTTGCAGAAGAGATAAACACTGGGATTGTCTGGGTGGAGAGAGAGAGAGAAACTCATAAAATTAATCCTGGATTAGCTAACACAGGGACTTAATAAAAAGGAGGATCGAACTGGGATTTGAGTTACTTTTCACCTTGGGAATCCAATACTGAGGTGTGTTCATGGACAGCTTCCTTTGCTCATTTTTATGAAAAAGTAAGTCCCACTGAACTTTGGCTGTTTGATGGTTATAAAAAAGGGGGTGTGAAAATATTTTTAATGGTAACACTATCAAAGTATGGAATTTCAACAGGAATTATTGTAGCCCACTCTATAATTCACATTTGTGTCAGGATTGAAGTCAGCATTTTATATAGTTTTTTTCTTGAGGCGGCAGATGTACGATTGTGCTATCAAGCTGCAAACCTATACATGCATTTTGAAGTTTCCTTCAAATTACATTTGTCTCCCTGTGACTTAAGAGACATGTTCATGGAGTTTTCCTAGCAGCAGCGTAGAATGGTCTGTCACTGTCTTTTCCAGGATAGGTGTTTTTTTTCCCCAACTTGCTGGTATTGCCTTCGTTTCTGTGGTTTCTCAATGGTCTCTCATTAGGATTGACTGTACTTGGTTTCCAAGGTCAGCAAATCCATGGAATTCAGTAGACCGACAGTTGATGCTCCCACATTCCTAATGCCTTAAGCCCTATCCTACTAGGTTTTTTACAGGGTTCAGGCTGGGAAGATATACATGTAGGCTGGGAAGATATAAATGTAATTCGCAAGATTCACCATGATTGATCTGGTGTCTAAGGCTGCAAAAAGGTTCTTTAGCATTGTGTATCCTTCCTTCTTTCCTTCCTTCCTTCCTTCCTTCCTTCCTTCCTTCCTTCCTTCCTTCCTTCCTTCCTTCCTTCCTTCCTTCCTTCCTTCCTTCCAGAACTGGGCTGTTACCAGTTTGCCCCTGTTCGGGTAAACTGGTAGCTAATTTTAACATTTTTAATAACCAGTTTGTCGAACCAGCAAATCCCGTTCTAGTGGTTAGTATGAAAAGATGCTACTTTAATCATCTAGTCATGCAAGCAATAGTCAACCTAGAATGGGCCAACTGAGGACCATAGCTAGCCTTTGAATTGTGAGCTGGGGCTTTGTTACATAAAATGTGGCCCACATCTCACTTGAATTAGTGTTGATTTTATCATAGCTAGAATATTTAATTATTTAGCACTTTCTTCACATTAATAGTTACAAATTAGGAGCAATTTGTTGTGGAAATGAAGAGGGTTCTTAAAAACTGCATAAGTCATGGAGAAGATCTTAGCTATTCATCTGTAAGATAGGGATTCTAATTTGCTGTCAATTCATATATATATATATATATATATATATATATATATATATATACATACATACATACACGCATACATACATATGTATAATTTTCTCTGTGTAATTACTTGTTATTGTTCTGATTAGAAAACATGAAGTCATCTTCCTGATTTTGTACTTAAAATAAACCTGTTGAACAATATGACTGAAGTCTACAAGTGGCTTAGCGCCTTTTTAAGAAACTTTTATTTTTAAAAAATTCACATAAGTAAAAGAGAAATATGAAATCATATAGAGTGAAATTAAAATGAAAAGAAAGATAAAAAAAGAAGTAGGAAAGACGGTGATAGGGAAAAAAGCAAAATGAAAAGAAACAATATATATAGAACAATATATATGTTTTCTTAAGTTTTCGTGGGTACTTACATGTATGGTATTCAGCTTTGTTCGAGTATTTTCCCACGTCATTATAGTTGTGCTTTTAAAGTTGTAGCAACATTTCGGCAGAATCTTAGATGATGGCAGATGAGATTCTGCCAAAACGTTGCTACAACTTTAAAAGCACAACTATAATGAGGTGGGAAAATACCCAAACAAAGCTGAATACCAACAATGTGTGTGTGTGTGTGTGTGTGTGTATGTATGTGTGTGTGTATATATATATATATATATATGATAATTGACAGTCTGGTGGAGTCATCTGTCAATTATTTGGAAGCCTGCACTCACAAACAAAAATATCTCCACACCACAAGCCAAGCAAACACCTGGGCACAAACAGACCCCACCTGTTACCTCCAGCTCAAACACACCCCAACCAGGCATCCAGATGAAACCTAGCTTCCTAATAAATGATAGCCGTCCATTTACTCGGAGCCAAGCCACACTGAAAGCCTCCAATACAGGAACACAATGTTGCCAGCCAATCAAAAAATGCTACAAATCAGACAGAAGTTATTAGAAACACCAGTCAAGCAGAACACAGCAAACTCCAAGACCAATAAACACAGACCAAGACTCCCAACCAATCAGGATGAAGAAAAACCCATCCTGGCACAGCAGTAGGCTAGCCCCAAATTTAAAACTGAAACAACTGTAAAAGTCTGACTCACAGACGAACACAATACACAAGCCTGATGATGGCAGATGAGATTCTGCCGAAACGTTGCTACAACTTTAAAAGCACAACTATAATGACATGGGAAAATACCCAAACAAAGCTGAATACCATACATGTAAGTACCCGTGAAAACCTAAGAAGATATCTATGTATGTATGTATGTATGCATGTATGTTATTCAGCTTTGTTCGGGTATTTTCCCACGTCATTGTAGTTGTGCTTTTAAAGTTGTAGCAACGTTTCGGCAGAATCTCATCTGCCATCATCAAGAAAACACACACACACACACACACACACAATCAGCTTTCAATCTTCTTTAGAGCAATTACTCTCTCCTCCCTCTTTAAAGTTACAACATGATTCTGTTTGTGGACTAATATCGCTTAAGCTAGGAGAAGGAAGGTTGAGGATTAAAAAGAAGAATAGGTGTTGAAAGCAATGGAAAGAGAGGGCTTAGGAAGAGACTGGATTTTCATCATGGTATTTGAGATTGTTTGAGGAGCTTTTGAGTTTAGGATTAGGCCTGTAGGACAGAAATTCCCAATCAGAATAATAGAATAACAGAGTTGGAAGGACCCAATCTCAAAATTTCAGTTATATTTTGACCACCAAACAGAAAAAAAAAAAATCTGTGTTCTCAGTTTAGATCAACACCATGGATGGAAAAACAGCTTCCCAGCAAGCAAAAGAAAATCCATTTGACCTGGATAAGACCTTTGGATCACATCCTGTGAAAGTGCCACCTCTCTCTATTTCCAAATTAAAGGTAATCACTTTCCTCCTCCTTCCCTCCCTCCAATTTTCGCTTCAATGAATCCCTGAGCTGCATCCCACAAAGGCTACTCTTTTTTTCTATTCTGAAATTAAACACCTTCCCATTTTGTCTGCAATAAATCCTCACGGTCACATCCAGTGAAGGCTACACACAGCCTTTCTGTTTCAAAGCTAAGAGCAATCGCTCGGCCACTTTCCTTGGAGAGGTGGAAAATATTCATACGATTCACGCTTAAAATCACAGGGTAAAATCTACACTAGCAAAAAGTCCAAAGTCTAGTAGTGCCTTTCTCAATTAACCAGGGGTGGGCTGCTGGGGGTTCGCAGGTGTTCGGGAGAGCCCCTGGCTAAGATTCTGTGCAGTTTGGACACACACACACCCCCAAATCCCACTCCTGTCTAATTTTTAATTTTTACCATGGGCATTTCACTTACCTGTGGTGGGCCTTTGGAGAGTAAAAAATACTAAAAATGACCTGCCATTTTAGAGTTAGGGTTAGGGTTAAGCCTCTCTGGAAGCCTCTAGCAACTTTCTAGCAACAGTTCCTTTGCCAGCTCACTATTTTATCTCTGTTTTCATCTTAGATATTTCTTGGAGCACTGGCATTTTCTTTTTTTGCCAAAGCTTTTTCAGGAAGCTACATGAAGAGCATGATGACTCAAATCGAGCGGAGATTTGAGATCTCATCGTCTGTGGTTGGCTTGATTGATGGAAGCTTCGAGATAGGTAGGTTGTCTCGTTATGGGGTGCAGAGGTTACACAGCTTGGCCATAGAACAGAGGTGTCAAACACAAGGCCTGTGATGTGGTCATATCTAGCCCATGGGGCCGTCCTGGAAAATGTAAGGGGCTGTCCCACGTCGCTTCAGCCCGTCTACCCAATGCAAAGAGGAAACATGTTTGGGGGAATGGCGTCAAGCTGGCCACGCCCACCCAGTCATCCATGCCCACCCAGTTGGCCACACCCACCCAGTCGGCCACACCTGCCTGGCCCACCCGAGGTCAACCACAGCTCTGATGCAGTACTCAATGAAATTGAGTTTGACACCCCTGCCATAGACGATGCTCCTTTGCTAAGAGGGCTGTTCATGTGTCTTCTTCTGATTCAGGAAACTTATTGGTAATGGTTCTGGTGAGTTATCTTGGACCACGGGTTCACCGCCCAAAGGTGATTGCAACAGGTTCTCTAATTATGACCTTGGGATCCTTCCTATCGGTGATGCCACATTTCATCATGGGACAGTAAGTGCAGTTTGTTTGGCTCGACTTTCTAGCTTGGAAGCTATAGCCAGATCACCTGATTTAATCTGAGGAACAGTTGGCTGTTGTTTTTGTTGATTCTTTCTCTTTTAGGTGGATTGTGGTGTGACTTGTTGGACGAATCCAGCCTGTTGAATTACTTTCTAATTAAAGACAGCACGTGCTTGTTTTGTTTCCTGGAATAACTCGCTTCCTTATTTTGCAAAAGTCAGTAAATCATAAACGTAACAGGGCAGGATTCGTATAAAATGGTAAAATATGCACAAAGCCTAATAAAGGACTAACCAGAGTTAAAGCAATCAGGTTTCTAGGTCTTTAATAAATCTTTAATGGACCTGTTATATTATGAATACAGTTATAATATGAGAGGAACCAGGAAACAGATAAACTCAGTACTGAAATTAAATGGATGATATAGAATAGAATAGAATAGAATAGAATAGAATAGAATAGAATAGAATAGAATAGAATAGAATAGAAT